GAAACTCACAATAAATATATAGGGAAGCATGATTAAGTAACGTTGAAAGTTCTCCTCTAACATGCATTTGTGGCAGGGAGACAGAAAGAGAAATGTTTGCTTTAATATATTGTTGCAGATTTTTTTTGCCTTTTTATATATTTAATATTCCATAACTCGTAAATTACAGTTATGTATTCATAAGTTTCAAAGGGTAACTATTATTAATTGTTTGTTTTCTTACGTCAAATGTAATCGTTTTTGTGTATTGTTCTGATGCATCATTTCCAAACTGTATATCATTTTTTTTCTCAAAGCTGCTGCCTTAGTGACGACATCCAGGACCTCGATGAGCCGTTCTTAGTAGCCTTTTGCCTCATAATCTTTCCAGTGTACCTAATTAACTTTGAACTTAAAAAAAAAAAAAAAAACATTTTTGAAGGTAGTCTAAGTAACATGCGCGCTGGTTGGCATATTTGAAAAAAAACGGAGACGACGGGCGTTGTTTGTCCCCTTTTCGTCCGTCTTCTCCTTGTTTTTCCCAATATATTGAAAAATGTGTTTTTCGAATATTCTGGTTGATTGTGAGTAGCTATCCACAAGCGGGTGCTGGAGTCCTTCCGTGGCGTAAGGTTTTGAGTTGCCCGCAATGCAGCCTTTGGCGACAATGGCCATGAATTTCTCTGCTGGGTCGGCATTCGTGCTATATTCTGACAGACAAAGGCTGCTATTTGTCTCTTTTAAGGCGTCATTTCAGGTTGAGGGTCAAGGGGGGAGACGAATGATTGTGGTGCTCCTTGCTTTTGACCAGGAATTCTCGTGCGTATGGGCTGAATCTGCGCCTACTGCGTGGTTTTGCCGCATCGACGCGCTCGATGCAGATGTCGTGGCACTCTACTTTCTCTTAAAGGGCCTGCACCATTTGCTTTAGGTATGTCCATTTTGCTTTATGATTTGTACATCTTGGTGTATTGCTTGTATGCCCTGCCATGAGGCAATATATTGTGCTTTCATGCGCTCTGTGAACATCTCCACTATGGTTGTCATGGTGCCTGGCAGCACTGGTCTTAGGCTTTAGGTGACTTGCCATGCATCTGACGTATGGGCTGCGCTCGCTGAGGGAGTCTGGGGTGTTTTCTGTGGGTCTTTAGTTGGGGTGGTGATAGGGAATCTGTTTTTATTTGGGTTGTTCGCTCTTGTTCTGGAAGTTTGGTTTTCTTGCGATTCTGGGAAATGTGCCCTGTCTGGCCTTTCTCTATTGTTTCTAGCCTAGCTTAGAGTGCTGCTATTTGTGCTCTGCGTTGTCTGTATCTCTGTCACGCTGGGGGTAAGGATGTGGGTTGGTCGGGGGAGCGGGGGGGGGGGGGTGGAATTGGAGTATTGGGAGCAGTGGAAGACATCACTTGTTTCCAGTTCACTTGCTTATCGTTGCTCGTGCCTGGTCAGGGTTACCAGCTTTAAAACGTAGACCAAGACCTGGGGCCAGAACTACTGCGCCTCCTCCGGGTCGAGGTCTGGAGCGGTCCTTCGGTGGCCCGCGTTGTAGAGTCGAGTCTCTCCGCGTGGCTCGCTCCTTCGCCTGGCGTCCCCCGAGCTGAAAACGCAGGGCTCGCGCAAGCGCTTGGGGCAGCCCGGAGCTGCTGTGACGTAAGAGCCGCCACAGACTGTGCACAGAGGTTCGCGGGTGTGACCCTGTTGAGTGTCTCGGAGGCCGTGTTGGTGGCACGCAATGAAGTTTGGTTTTGGAAAAGCCTTAGATCGGAGTCCGGTCTCGTGGCAAATGTTGCACACGGAAATTGTATTTTTATAAAGCGAACTGGGGGGCATTCCACGCGCAATGTCGTCACAAAGTACGGTACCTTAAGTCCAAAGAAGGTGAGTATTATCAGCTTGAATTCTCACAGCCCGCGGAAGGTGTATGCTTCAAACTGACTTTCGTCGAGGTCGGCAAGGATCGCGGCGTCGGAGAAGCGCAGGGGAACTCTTCGAATGGGTATCTTCGATGAGTCATGGGGCGCCAGGCCGTGCAGGATGACCGTGTGAATGGCGTGGCCGATCTTGGGTTGTTTCAAGTTGCATAGTGCCTTATCTGCATCTGAAGATGGTGTGCTGATTGTGGCAATACTTTGCGTGGCTTTTTAGAGAACCTTCAGATTGGCCTGGCGCCACGTGAAGTTTATGTAATTTAACATAGCCAGTGAAATCTCAGCCACCTTTAAATTTGCGAGCTTGAGGCCATTTTGTGGGCGCAGAACTACTTTGAAATCATATCGGGGAACTAGATTGGGCTGGGGGTCGACTTTGCATACGGGCGTGGGAGGCGGAGTTGTGGGCGCGACGGTTTGGCCTACCTCATTGCCCAGTTTGCGCTTGCGGCGTTGCTTGGCCTTGGCGACGATCTCGATCCAAGGTGGGTTATAATCTGAGGAGGGTTTTGAATGTTCACCTTCGCTGGAGTTGTGCGATATCGTGTTCTCTTCTCCGCATGAATTAGGGCTAGTGGAGTCCGCGGCGCGGGCCTCGTCAGCGGCGGGCAAGCCCAGTAATGGGTGTACTCTTGCGGGGCCTACCACAGCGGGATTAGGCCAAGCGTGCTGGTCCGGGGAAAAAGTCCGAAATTCGTCAAAAATGCACTCTCTGGTCACAAAAGGTGTCCAAGGATGCACTACGAGGTGCTGAGCAGCTTTTAGCGTCCATATATGGCAGGGATTCGAATTTTCCGCTCAATAGTTGAAAGTATGTGCGCCACACGCAAAGTGCGTCCGCTCGCTGCGGCTGCAGGTGGCGCCCTCGGACTGTAAGGAGCCAAGTGAGCTAGAGTAGCACCTAATTATAATAAATCTGGTTTTGGAAGTGAACGAAAGAACGCACAAAATCAAAAACAAGAAGACAGAAAAGAAACATGCACGACACACAAGCTCTGACTTGCAAATGATTGTATTTATATGCGAGTCAGCGCTTGTGTGTCGTGCATGTTTGCATGTTCCTTTTCTCTGTCCTCCTCTTTTTGCGCACTGTTTTGTTCACTATCTGACCCTACCAACTCGCCCAGCTTACCATACTTTTGGAAGTACGGCTTGACAAAGACGTCAGTTCCACTTTTGATGCCGGAGATAGCATATTTCTTATATTCCTTAACTAAATCTGAAATAATTATAGCTACTTCCATTCGAATGCCATATCAGAACCTCGTGTTACATTTCTTTTTTTTTTCAGCTTTTATTTCTTTCCTTCATAATCGAATCTAGCGCTGAGTGGCGCGTTTTGGGCGGTATTATATATTTGTTGCTCAATGAAATATTTGCATTTGTCATCTTTATTTCAAGCTTTTGTTCTTACGCTTTTGCTTATCTTACTTCGTACATTAGGCTGGTCGGTTAATTCAATCGCATCATGACCAAGACCATAAAAAAAGACGTCTTTGCGTTTAACAGATACGTCGCTCAGCTCTGAATGTTCTTTTTTTTTTTTTATAAACTGTCCGTCTTATCTATTAAACACTCTATTTTGTGGAACCTAGCATAGCATTTTTGGCACGGTGTCTATTTGTATGCGTCCACAAGATAAATTACACGCATGACTTACTTCGAGCAAACAAGCGGTTTACCAATCACTGCTCTTGCTATTGACGAGATCCCATAAACGTTCCTAGGTGCGTCATGTTTCAACCGCAACGTGCAAGGAAAACGTCGCGAAGGTTCTGACTGCGCAGATTTAATTTCGGAGCCATACAGTATGTAAGGCATCGATATGATTTGCATGCGCTCCGTAGACCGCAGTGAATCGCTCACTAAGTGGTCTACGGGAACAAAGGCGCACATGAATTTGTTAGTGCGCATAAATATGTCCACACATTTTAACGCTGTTCTTGTGTAAAAGGGGCGGCTTTCTGTTTTATTCCATATCAATAAAAAACGGCGAAAAGACGTGCCGTGTCTTTGAAAGAATTATCAAAAATTTTGATTCAAATTATTTTTATGGCATTTAGCCCAACCGCAGAAACAAATAATCACTGTGGGTGTGCAAATACCTGGCTCTTAGACACGAACCTTTCCGACCGCGCCACCATTACAATATAAAATGGTAGACGCAACTGCGAACAAAATCATGCATTAATATCAATAAAGTCAATTCTTATCTAATATCTGTAATATATATATATATATATATTTGTGCATCTACTCCCTACATCGCTTCTGCAAATTGGTGTTGAGTGCAAATGCTGGTTGTTACCTGCATTTGCACTCAACACCAATTTGCAGAAGCGATGTAGGGAGTAGATGCACAAATATATATATATTACAGATATTAGATAAGAATTGACTTTATTGATATTAATGCCAAAATTACCAAAAGACTTCTATTGATGTAGGCGCATATGGCGCTTCTCCACACGCAGTTTGGTATTTTTATGAAGAACTGATGACGTTTAATGGGGCTTCAGGTAATGCAGATAGTCACTCGTGCTAACTTACGAAACTCAGCAAATCACATGCGACGGATAGCTGTAGGGTACATGCATGGGCGATCAATGCGAGAATCCAAATAATACGAACGTAACGCACCAGCATTACCGTGCATATCATTATGAACAGGCCTTGTTCGTAGTACGATCGAATATATTTATGCTACTACGGCATCAAAAAATAGAGCACCGATTCCCCGCATCAAAAGAAAAAAAAAAAGGCTTTTCTTAATCTCTTCAATCGTGTCTTTAATTATTTGTGATACATTAGAATTTCGTTTGAGATATTTCTTAGATGAAAAATCGCACTTTACCCATCCTTAGTGTTTTCCCATTTCGTTCACCGAAATCTATGCGAAGCGCAAGTAAGTCGGCTCTTGCACAAAGGGTTGCGATGATGTCAGAACGCCCAGCTCTTATTGGCTGATTGAAGAACAAAATAGTGGGTAGGCCTCGAGGCATCTAGCATTGAGGTATATCCAGTATCCTTTCAATCAAATCCAATGAGAGCTCGGAATCGGACGGACGTCAACGCAACCCCTGCGCAAGAAGCAGGCGACATGCCCTCCGCATATTCCGCTTCACATAAAGTTCGACTGCAGACAAGGCTACGATCGGATGGAGCCAATCAACCAACGCAAAAAGTGCAAAGTCATGGCACTCGTCGTCTTTGAGCGCTGGCCGTCTCCGGTTAAACCAGACAAGTGTAGTGAATGCGTTGTGATCATGAGCTGTGATTTCTGCTAGATTGGCTTATTTAAGGCAAATATGAAGAACACGAAAACTCTGCACATTTAGGGCTCCTTAATTGGCTCCGTCGAATAGCAGCGCTGGCTGCGGTAGGACGTAGGGTGAAACGAAAAAAAATAGCAAAAGTAGTACGCGTAATACGCCATTGATAACCAAAACCTGGCACGACTCATTAAACACATACCGACGATATGTTTGAGGGATATGATATGAAAAGTATATTCGTTCGGTAAGCAAGTATGGTGCGAGATATCGGCTAATGCATTTAACTAAATTGATCGTGCTATCAAAAAAATTAAACCAAGTACTGGGTGTAATATAGTGACTAATGTGTGCGCGTGAAACAATTCCTTCCTAAACGCTGTTGCAAACAAAATGTGCTGCCGACAAATTTTTTGACACGAACTAAAGCCCCAAAAGTATCAAGAAGCGATGCATTCAGCGAACAATGAAGATGGCGTTATATATCAGAGAAGTACTCTATACTGACATTGTGCCGTTATAGACTCAAATGCTCCTTTATTGAAAACTCCGAGATATATAAAATAAACAAACAATAACAGCACTGTTTTTTTATTATACCACCGCCGCAAACATGCAAACGTGTAGAAGGTGCCCTGGCTACTCAGTATATTAAACTTATATTGCCCCTGTCGGAATTAGACATATCTCGCACGTGATGTCAAGGTGACTAGGCTTGTTTTCACGGTGATCCAACGTCGCCTTTCTTTCTGCGGTTAAGAAGGAAAATAAGCCATAAAGAAACACAGACGAATTAGGAGTGAGCGGCAGTCGTATGGAAGTTCCCACTCATGTTTGTGGGAGCGTCGAAGAGAATGCGTCGCAGGCATAATACTCGGTGTGTTTAATCTGTCGACTGTTCCACACATTTCACACGTGCACTAATGCGATCACAGAACGCTGGCAGAGAACGATCGGCGATGAACATGGGGAGGCACTCATTTTGGTCGACGGTTCTCTTCTGAGATTTTTGCTGGACGACGCCATGGCGCTGAAATGTCCTAGACGTCAGCGATGGTATCCCAAGAACGGCGGGAGTCGTGGTAGCTGGAAACTCTACGGATTTGGTCTTGCAAAGGTCTCAGTGGGGTTGGTTTGTTCTGCGCTCGAGGAAAATCTGAAAAGAAAAAAATGTCCACAATTTTTACCTCATTTGCAATAGAGAATTTGTTTACATTACAAAAGACTTATTATTCCTGCAGTCAAAAATGTCCTAAAATAATGTACGACGAAAACCGGCAAACTCGGCATTTCCAAAGGTAGTCATATTTGTTTCATTTTGGGTCTTGATAGCGATGTTTTTGATGTATGTAGTTTTGTGTTTATATTTCTGCGTATAGTACTGTGTACTTTTGTGTATATATCTTTGAACATTTCTATATTTGTACTTCTCACTTTTACCGCTATAAAGCCCTGTTCGCGCTGAAGTTTCAATTTAATAAACAAATGAACCTGAGCAAGCCCTATCCATTGTGCAATGTCGTCACAATCGACTTCTTGCACTCAGTTCAAAAAGCACATACACCCACAAAGGTTAATGACAGCAATATTCCTGGTGTCCTCCGTGTGATATATTACTAAAAGGTGTACTTATCATTTTTGATCAATTTTTTTCTTTATTTATTCTTGCGAAAAAGCGCTCAGTCTGATTATACACTTATAAATTATCGATGGCACCTATAGGCAAGTTTTCGCGCAACAATAAAAAATGAAATCCTATAAACTCTACGTAAAATTGACAGAATAAAACAAGGATAAAACCTGATCGCCTTCACCAGTCCTATAAACTCCAGCTAACGCAATCGGGTAAACAATGTTTCTTGTCAGCCATAAATTGTTTGGCGAAATCAGTGCGATTGCCAATATTTGAAAAGGTTCATTTTAAATCAAAATTGTTTTAATTCATTAAATTATTTTATACGTATACTCTAGGTATGTACCCTTAACAACCTTCGAAATAAATGAGGTTGAAACTTTGAGTGCACGCGATCCCAACTGTACAGAAAGTTTCGCAGAAACAATAACTCTGTTTCATTTATTTCAAGGTTAATCTACGCCGCACGGAACGCTCAGTCTCCTGCAAAATGTAGCGGTAGCGATTGGGGACAGATGTCAAAGTTTCAAAACTTGTTGTGATATTTTTGAAAATTTAAAGGGGAATTAGAAAATCTCGAATAATAAAATGGGGCAGTTCGGGGTAGAAGACGCCATTTATTTTTGTATATTCAGGGCCTCCTTTACTGCCTATTCATAATCTAAAATGTCGGGTTATTTTATATTACCACATGAATCAAAAACAGTTATGAATATTTTAGTACCTAATCCCAGCCGACTCGACCAATACTTGGATGGATGCTCAGGCTTCGGCAATGCACAGTTTAATTTAGGGAGAAGTAAAACATATACCTGGCTCTTTATTGTTTTAAACACTGGGTACATCTCTAGCATATATTCCTGACATGTGGCCACCATAGAAACGAGAGTTTTGTGTACAGGGTGTTCCAAAAACAAATTTAAAGGGTTTTTTTTGTGTTTTTTTTTACTGCAAAAATAAACGATGAATGGTCGAACGCTCATTCTCCGGCGAAATGGCAGAGTGAGGCTCGAACCAGATGCCATTGTTTGCGTACGATCCGATATTTTATTCAAAATTCATTGGTGATTTTCTGAAAATTTCATTGGGACAACGGGGCCCATTTTTGCACGTTTTCGGTTTGTGGCGCTATAGCGTACAGTGTATTCGAAAGCTCTGTCCGCCATCATTTTCTCATTGACTTTTCAGAAAACAACTTATAACTTTCAAATAAAATATCGGTTCGCGCAGAAACTTGGGCCTCTGGTTCGGACCTATAGCGCTACCTCGGAGCGGAGAATGAGCGTTGTGCGGTGCGTAGTTTATTTTTCCGGTGAAAAGACCCTGTAAATGTTTTTTTGGGCAAACCCTCTATACAAGCGAATGTTGGCAAGGTTATACTCGGACCCAGCTCAGCTGCGGCGTGTGTGAACCGGGGACAGCGTCACTCTATCGTACCTCATAGCTTTAGGCAACATTCCATTCACTTCTGATGCTTCATTTTATTTTCAAGTTCTTTACTTAATTTGTTTTCGATCACATGTTATATCAGATACGACAGAAGCAACCTGCATTTCCGTACAGACACTCTGTCAAAACGCGTCAAGTAATCGTACTACTGGGTACTATCAAATTTAAACCATATTACCTGTAAGAGCCCGATTACGAAGGCGAAAAAAATTTTCATATATAAGAGAAAACAAAAATATCGGTTGCCAAGGAATTCGTATACAAATACTTATTGTAATCTGTTTTCTTGGTCTTTGGTTCGAGCGAGTACGAATAAACGCAGACAGCTGTATGCGTGCCCAAAGCACAGGAGAACACCTAAGACTGGTGAGCAGAAATATAGTTTTCTCAAAGCCCGTAAAATTCACATTTGAAAGTGAAATTCTAGATTTACGAACAAACCAAACTGATATTTTGATATTTTCAAATGTTTTTATCTGCTATTGTGGATATCTTGCAGGCATGCTCTGGCAAGAGGATGCATTTTTAGTACTGAATATAAAGGTGGCCAGGAACGGGTTGCAACAGTTGCTGGCTTCATGAACAGCTATTAATTCAGAAACGAAATGTAGTTTTAATAAGTCTTACAAATTCTTTAGCAACAGATTTTTTTTTTGCATCTAGTACGATAATGCTGTTTAAACATCGCTGGAGGGACTATTCGAACCTAGAAAATATAAGAACGTCTTTATCAGGGCCGACCCCCAATGCTCACTGTCTGCGATATATATTTGTTTTTGTATTTTTGTTGGTAAGGCTTTTTAATAGAGTTTTTTTTAACATTGCGTTTTGTAGTATGTGTACTTGAAACAATTTGAGCATTAATTGAACATTTTCCTACAATAAATTAAACGGACTTACTAACTGCCATAGCGCCTTGATTATTCTCGTTGGCGTAAAATAGTATGCGACCACTGCTCCATATCTCAAGAAAAATAGATTAATATAAATTAATGAACAAACATTTAGTGAAATATTTCTTAATTATAATTCTTGAGTTATTCCCAATCCTCGAGTTATTGCAAGGGATCAGTGCAGGTGGACCAAGAGTTTGAAGATGAAGAGCTTCAAGCATTGAGGTGCTCACTTCCATTCGTGCTTTGCTTTCACAATCCCGGCTCGGCCGCTATGTCCCCGTTCGGGCAATTGTGATGATGGTAGCTGCTCCAACGACTGCCGCCCATGTGGAAAGATGCATCTGCGAGGATGTTGCTCCGCTCACCAGGCTTCCTAGAATTAAGAAAAAGGAAAAGAAAAAAAAAAAGAGAAAGGAACAAGGAATCGGAAATCGGTTAGCTTGTCTCATCTTAGATATTCGGATGCAGGGCAATAATAGAAGAGAAATGTGTAAAAGAAAATAGTATTTTTCAGAAAACATTAATTTTATTAGTTTAGAAAGAATAGTGTTAAATCCAAAGAATGGCAGCTAAGGAAGTGCTTGTAAGCGTGAAATTTCTCAATTACGACCACTTAGTTTCCTTTACAATTGAATATTTAGTTTAGTACTGATTCCCAAGGTTTCACGCGTATCTAAGATGAAGTTTTTTTTTCTTTTTATTCATTTTAAGAGTGTGTTGCCCTCAGATAATCGTGAGTATCCGCAATTTTACTTGAAGAGGCGAGTAATACTTAATCAAATCTTGCAGGTCGTGTATCGGATGCGAATCGATGTCTGTTGACGCAAGTTGATTGCTCCTTTCGTTATTTGGAAATTAAATCGGGTTATAAACTACATAACGCTCATAAGGTTGAAGTTGCCGTAGAAAGAACATGACACCTTTCGGTTATGTCTTTACTAAAAGAACTTTTGTTTACTTTCTGTTTGCGAGCTGGGATTCCGCAAATGTGTTCCCTTCACCCTGTGATGCGATAAGTCATTTTCGTTACAGAACACGCTTTTCTGATGTACTTTCTTCTTTCCTCGAGACGACTGCCAGGTCTTTATTGAGTAGTTTTGTTCAGATCTTAGCGTGGCCTATGATGAACTTAAAGTAACTAAAACTGGCTCTAATCTCGTCATTCATAGTTTATTACTATGCTAGAGAAGATAAAGAGAATATATCTGCCCGAGTGACTTTCTGTTGAAGCTGACCTAGCACTAATAACAGTTCAAGATAGAATTATAAAAATAAAAAAATAAAACTTTTCGCGTGATAGATTCGGCTGCTCTAGAAAACAACTCAATACAGTGCTCGCAAAATCTGTGTTGATGCTGCTCTAAACATCAGGAGGTGGGTTAGACGTGGGTACAGAAATACTTATCCGTGCAGTACTTGTATGAGTTAGCCGCTCATTGTAAATAACAAAACAAACTACTTTATGTTCTTAACATATTTCCCTAATATATCAATATAAAACCCAGCAAGATGTTTCTACAAGGCATCAAGAAAAGAAAGCAACTATATGCTCTTTAGAAATTCCCCGCTAGTATAATTATGTATGGAGGAAGCAAGGAGCCAATGGCTAAGACACTTTCAAAATTAAGAAAAATGCTGCTGCGTGAGAGGTGTGCTACTCAGAAATATAAGCGGCGCACACACGTGGAGCAAAACACAATTCTACCGAATCTCCCTGGGGGTTGAAAGGATGTGTTTTGAAATGCTCCCATGTTCCTTATTTCAGCTGTAAATAACAATGCATGGATCACCAATGTGTGAAGAGGTGTTCACAAGAAATATTTACTCTGTTAAAAAGTGTTCATTCTTAATTACATGTTAATATAATGTAGGTTTCATATAATACAGTGCATAATATTATGCAAGAATATGCAATATAATATACCGGACTCAAATGGCATAATATTTGTCATGTAAATTTGTAGTAATGTCAAAATATTTTAACCGCGTGACGCGTGTACATTTTTATTACTGTGTAACAGTCGAGACAATTATCCTTTAATCGAAGCCATTTAATATAGATTATAGCAGTGTACCTCTAGAGCGCTTCTGAGGTCGATGTTTTTGTCTTCATTTATAAAAAAGGAGAACATTTGTTTTTGGGAGATTTCCCCTCACCGGTGCCGAAGGGCAAGTAGATGAGGTTGCTGCTGCCAAATAATATTTAAAACTAAACGTGGACATTGACAGAAAGAAAGCAACCGGAGAAAGATAGCAAAATAACACGTAGGCGAATCACTATATAAGGACACAAGCGAAAGTAAGCAAACTTGATTGAAAACCTCAAGAAATGTTTACTCCCTTATGGCGAAACTTCGTTTCCGACGAAAGAAAAATACAGTGGCGTACGTGCACTACAGGCACTACGCAGCTGGGAGATTTAATGCCCCAGAAAACGGCTTCCCTAAAGTGCGGGCACAGTTGTGCAATTGGACCCAAACACTACACGCTCGTGTGAGTAATCTGTAAATAAGTTATTACTACTAAGTTTGTTACATTGAGCAGGAATGTCGGTCAGCATAAGGAAGTTGTGGGTTTGTGTTAGGTATGCATAACACGGGTTTATTTACAAGGCCGATTTTGGCCGCGTACAAGAGTCGAAGAGGTAGAGAACGGAATGGCGAACAGTAAGTCCTTCCACGTCCGCCTACTGGAGGATGGCGCTGCTATCGCTCACAGTTGCCCGATCTGCTGCATACACAACATCCCTTCTTCCCTATGGAACGTAGTCCTGGTAACGCCGTGGGGGTCTTCTCTCACGTTGAGGGTACCTAGAAGCTCCTGTTGTTGCAGGTTGGATGGGAGAGCTCTGCTCCTTTGAAAGGCTTCCAGGCAGGTTAGGACCGTCGGGTCTAGGCAAGGAGGTGGTGGAGCTGGCGGGTAGACTTGGACTTGGAGAATTTTCGTTCACTCCCGGCAGTGGTGGGTCCTTGCCAACCACAGGGGAATGATCACCATCGGTCGTGTCACCACAAGTGTCACTGGTGGCTCCACCAAGGTCTAGTGGACTGGCACGGTTGCGGAGTTGATCAACGTGCCTTCGCCAAACGCGACCGTTGGACAGACGAACTTGGTACGACAGGGGTCCTGTGACTGAAGCGATGAACCCGGGAACCCACTTGGTGCTACCTTGATAGTTCCGTGCATACACCGCATCGCCGGGACAGAACTCCCGAACTCGTTGAGAGCCATCTCGGAAGTAACGCTCCAGAGATTATCCATCCAGATGAAAATCGGGATGCAGACGGTCTATGGCAGATCGCAGTCGTCTCCCCATCAGAAGTTCAGCCGGACTCTTCCCCGCAGTTGTACTGGGTAAGATCTGCTGGGGGGGGGGGGGGGGGGTGGTCCAACAAGAAACGAGACAGCTTGGTTGCCCAATCTCCTTGAAACAACTTGCGTAGCACTTGTTTTGTTTCCCGTACCATCCTCTCAATCTGCCCATTGGAGGACGGGTGATAGGGTGCGACTGTAATGTGCCGGATCTGATTCTTGGTTGCAAACTCAGCAAACTCTTCTAACGTGAACGCAGTTCCATTGTCCGACACTAAAACTTCGGGAATGCCAAAGCGAGCAAACATTGCTCGAAGTTCCTTGAGTACTGCTCTGGTCGACATTGATTCCATCAGGGAAACTTCCAACCACTTGGAATGCAAATCGACGACCAACAGAAAAACCTTCCCTTTGAAGGGACCGGCAAAGTCGATGTGCAAGCGAGACCAAGGGTTCTTCGTGAACTCCCATGGGTGCACCGGTGCCTTGCTGGGGGCTTGTCGAGTTTCTTGGCACATTTGGCAGCCAGCTACCTTGCGTTCGACGTGACTGTCGATGCCCGGCCACCACACTGTGCTGCGTGCAAGACCTTTCATCCGCACTACTCCAGGGTGCGTGGTGTCTAGGGTATCAAGGAGTTGAGCCTGTGCGGGACCCGGAATCACAACACGAGATCCCCAGAGCACACAGTTTCTGTAGCTGGACAGTTTGTTCTTCCTGGCCACAAAGGGGCGGAATTCTTCTGGCAGCTTCCCTGAAGGCCAGCCTTGCAAAATCCAGCGGTGCACACGCGACAGAACCGGGTTAGTCCGTGTTAATGCTGCGATCTTGGTAGAATCTAGAGGAACCTCCGGCGCTGCCTCCAGCAGCAAGATGTCTCCCAATGGTGGCTCGTGCTCATTCTTGACAGGAAGCGGAAGACGACTGAAAACGTCGGCATGTGGCAGCTTGAAGCCAGGTACGTACTACAGTTCGTAGTTGTATGCAGAAAGTTGCAGACTCCAGCGCAACATCCGAGGTGACAACACGGCAGGAACAGGCTTGGCCTCGTGCAAGAGGCCCAGCAACGGCTTATGGACTGTCAAGAGTTAAAACTTCCAACGAAAAACGTACTGGTGGAATTTCCGCACACCAAATAGCAAAACCAGAGCCTCCCGGTCTATCTGCGCATAGTTACGTTCTGCTTTTGACAAAGTTCTCGAGGCAAAGACCACTAGTCGTTCAGCGCCGTCCTCTCCCACTTGGCTCAGTACAGCACCCAGCCCGCACGGAGACGCGTCACAGGCCAGCCTTATGGGACGTGACACATCATAGTGTGCTAAGACGGCCGACGATTCCAGCAGGCTCTTGGCACTCTGGTACGCCTTTGCTTCAGTCTTTGTCCAAATCCATGCCTTGTCCTTGTCCAGGAGGCGGTAAAGTGGCTCCAACACATGTGAAGCTCCTTTCAGGAAACGGCCATAGAAATTTAAGGCTCCCAAGAACGACTGTAGCTCCATCTTGTTCACTGGTTCCGGAGCTTGCTTGATCGCTTCAACTTTTTCACCCAAAGGGCTTACTCCGTCCTTGTTGATACGGTACCCCAGGTACGTCACTTTTTTGTCCCTGAATGCACACTTGACGGCATTCAGACGAAGCCCATCGTCTTCGATATGCTGCAGCACTTTACGCAACCGTTCGTCGTGCTCGGCGACTGTTCTTCCACCAATGAGGATGTCATCCAGAAAACACTGAACTCCTTCGAGTCTGTTTAGTACTCCTTCCATGTAACGTTGGAAGATGGCTACTGCCACTGCCACACCAAACTGCAATCGCGTCACCTTGAACAGGCCCTTGTGTGTTGTCACGGTCTGCAGCATGGCGGTGTCCTCGTCGACACAGAGCTGTTGATAAGCTTGATCCAGGTCAAGCCGGGAAAACAACCTCCCAGTCCTACGAGCAGTTGCTCTGGAGTGGGCAATGGGTAAGTCTCCCACTTGATGACTGGGTTGAGCGTTCCCTTGTAGTCTCCACAAATCCTTATCTTTCCATTCTTCTTTGGAATCGGAACAATAGGCGTCG